GCTACTGTACAAAATTAAATATTATATAAAAAGGATAAAAAAAGGTTTACACACTAGGGGCATTACGTAAGTATACGTATCGTTTCAAGTAATATAAGATTTTCTATGAAAACACCAATATCGATTCCACGGGGAAAAACCAAAACTCTTATAAAATTTACTTTTATAAAACCTTCTATTAATTGTAGAAAAAACTTTTATAGGAAATGATCGCAAGTTTTTGAGAAATATCTAATCCTATAGAATTAAATGAATGCTAGTATGTTAAGCAAATGCAAAATGTAAATGCAAGGCTAGTTAAAAAAGGTTTTAAAATGCAAAGTTACCTCTACTCTAGACTAATAATGTATGAAAAGTTCAGAGTTGTATAAAACATCATTCCCCTTGCAATGAGTTTATAATTAGTGTATGAAAATAATTTTAAAATATAACTAAGGTATTGTGTCAAATAAGAGCAATTCTATTCCTTACCCTCGGTCATGTGAATAAAGAACAATGGCTAATATAGAAAAATCATCCGACTCAAGATATGTTATCGTTATCTTACCTCTAATTTCAATGATTTTGTTATTTTGCATATTTTCAAACTTTTATATGTTTAAACCTTGCAAAATTAATAATATATCCATATTTTGGAAACTTTCCCAATGTAACTTTTAATATAATGTGGTCCTAGTTATTCTGCACAATTTGACATATGCATATTGAATTTTTAATAAATATTTTATTTGTTTTAAGCAAAAGTCTTAATTTAAGTTATATAAAATTTTAACTTATATCATTCAGAGATTTTTTGAATGTAGACCATATCAACCATTTACTTTTATGGAGTCTTTTTTAGTGTGATACTTTCCACTACAAACTTTCTATCAAGGCTGCCTTATGAGTGTGCCTTCCGAGGAATGAGTGGAGTTATTGATTGCCACTTGCCCTCAAAAGATATTTTTACTTTATATTATGCTCACTACTAATTTTTCATTGGAATTATCTTATATGTGTGCCTTCCAGTGATACAGGAGGAAAGGTTGTGACTGTCACTTTTCCTCATAAAAAATTTTTAGTGAGAAGCGCATCCAATATAAGCTTTCCATTGAAACAACTTGTGGATGTGTCCTTCAATGGTGTAAGTGAAGAGAGTGTTTGTCACTTACCCTTCAAGCATCTTTGTAATGAAGATCATGTCCACCAATAACTTACTATCAAAATTACCTCATGGGTGTGTCTTCGAAAGGTATAAATAGAGGTTGTGTTTGCCACTAAAAATTTTAAACCTATCTAAAGTTATTGGTAAAGTTTTTACTTGATCATAACCCATATGAAAGAGGTCATAATAAATTCATCAAAAATGTTTGACATATTTGAGGTAATGCATATATGATGCAATGAGAAATTTATCAAGAATATTTGATCTATTTGAAGTCATTTATACATCTTTAATATGTATATAAGATATTATGAGAAAACAACCAACAATGTTCGACCTATTTGAGGTTATTTTTACATAATTAATCTATATATAAGAAGTAATAAGAAAACATCCAATGATATTACACATTTTAGAGGTTATTTATCAGAGTATTACTCAACATCATTAACCCATGCAAAAGTTGTCGTAATAAATACACAAAGGATGTTAGAAATTTCAAGTTTATTTTCTATGAGTGTTATTCAATGACGTTAAGTTGCAAGGAAAAGGTTGAAAGAATTCAATCAATGATGGATGTTAGACATTTTAAAGTTTTTTTTTTTTTTTTTTGTCACAATGTTACTCAAAAAAATTGATTTATATGAAAATGTCATAGGAAATCCACTAAATATGTTAGAACTATCCTAAGTTATTAGTCAAAGTGTGGTTCGACGATGTTAACCTGTAAAGAAAAGATCAAACAAAATCTATCAAAGATGTTAGAACTTTTAATGTCATTTGTTGAAGTTTTACTCAATGACATTGACCTATATGAAAAGGTCAAAAATTCACTAGGGATCATAGACCTATCCTAGGTTATTGTTCTAAGTGTGACTCGATGATATTAACCTGTAAGAAAGAGGACAAATGAAATCCTTCAAGGATATTAAACCTTTCAAGGTCATGTGTCGGAGTGTTCTAAATGAAATTAACTTGTTTGAAAAAGTCGCAGAAAAATTACTAACGGTGATGTTATTGGATGGAGTGTGCCTCGATGACATTAACTTATAAGGAAGAGGTTGAATCAAATATATCAATGATGTTATACCTCTCAAGGTTGTTTGTTAAATTGCTACTTAATGACATGAACTCATATGAAAAGTATAGTAGGAAATCTATTAAAGATGTTAGACATATCCTAGATTATTTGTCAGAGCATGCCTCGATGTTGTTAACCCGTGTAGACGACGTTGATTGTAATCAACAAAATTTTTTTCATATGTTCTAGTTTTTCAGTTGGAGTGCTCGATGATGCTAACTTGTGTGTATAATGTCGAATTTAATCCACCAAGGGTTGTAGACTTATCCTATATTGTTTGTCAGATGAATTTAACTTGTGTGGAAGATGTCAAATCGAGCTTCCCTGAAATCGATTAAGTCAATAACGAGGTGTCAAAAATCTTCTATATTTCTTAATTTTGAGGTGTTGGTCGATATTGACTATATTTTTTTAGAATATGATTGTAATCATACTCGAGAATAAAAATTAATGACTTTCTTATTGTTGCTTTTGAATTTATGGATCTCCAATGAGGGTGTTATCCACATGTGTCTGATTGTTTCTTACAAATCAACCCATATTTTCTTATGAAATTAATCTTTCAATTTCTTTGTTAAATTGATGACATGATTAGATGGCATGATCACAACTTTGGTGGAAGTGATGGCGCAAGCTGATTTGGAGGTCGATGAAAGAGATGTGTGTGTGGAACTAGTAGTATTAAGGAGGTCTATTCTTGAATAGGGTGAGGATGAACTCTAATATTGTAAGGGGGTGCTGGAAGAGTATAATATGTTTGGGCATCTCCAATCAATGACTGATTTTTGATAAATTAGCTCCACAAGTTGGCACTAGTGCCGGTTGCCGAGCCTCACAAAGTGTTAAAAGAATCTTATTTTGAGATTCTTCCATTATATGCACATGGACTTCTAAGGGTTCAAAATAGGCTCTTTTGTCAATAGAGTAATATCTAACGAAAAAAAAGTAGAAGACTGACATCCTGACTTCGAGATCTTCTTGTAAAATAGTGGGTGTTAGAGTAAGTGGCTCCTTTGTTGCGAGAACTGGCCATAGAAAAGATGGGACTATGGTTCCTACAGAAAATACCAAATTATTGTGTTCTAGAATACTTAAGGTGGTAGAGTGATAATTTAGCATTATAGTAATGTAAGAAAATCCTACACACACATAAATAAAATAAAAGTTGTGAGATGAAATACCAAAATTAATGTGGAAAGACCCAAGAAAGAACAAAACCACGAGACCCGATCAACTTAAAATAATTTGTTGTGTAATCAAAAGAACATAGATTCACTTTTCATCTATATTAAGAGAAATGAGATTATATGATAATGTTAAAATGGTAACTACTTTGAAATAACCAAGCATATATAGTTATTAAGAGTTATGAGACTATAATTTTTTTAGTCTAATTATAATAGTCTTGGTGGGGCTACAAGAACCGTAATTGACAATAAAAATCATAGTTGACTATAGAAATCGTAGTTAATGGCTATGACAATCGTAATAAAACTACTAAAGCCATAGTTGTAAGCTATAACAACTATAATTGGCTACAAAAGACTATAAATTATAGGAGGCTATTGTAGTCACAGTAAGGCTATCAAATCCATTGTTGGTGGTGGTTTGGCGGTCGATGATGACCTTTGATAGTTGGCGATAAACTCTGGTGGTTAGCTGTGAAATCAGGTGACCACGACAAACGCTGAGGCTTTATGAGTTAAGCTTTAGTAATCAACTAACTATTCTCTTCTTCTCTCATCTTCAAGTGAATAATGAGGGTCCATCTATAATTTTTAGAGAGAATTTTGATATATCTAGTCAATCTCTCAAAACACTATATCAGATGGTCCACCTTAATTTCCTTAATCACATGTAATTTAATCAAATGTTAAATATGTTAGTGACATCAGAATTGAATGATATTATGCTTATTGGATTCTTCTCGTTCAGATACTCGATTTCGATATAAGCATGGTGTACTTTCATATTGTTGGCAATCCGTATAATGCAAATCTTTGACTATACTTGAAGTGCTCAATCGAAGTTGATATGAACTCGGATTGGATCACTTCAAGTGTCATTTGATTCGTCTTACTGAGACACTAAATTTAACTATAAATTTGGTGAAATCGAGGCTCGACGTGTCTTGAATTTGATTCATGATGTTTCTTGCTCAAACTACATCGAGATTTGTGCTTGATGATAAAAAAAATTTTTTGGGACGTAGGATCTTATATTGTTCGTGGGTGCATACAACTCGATAAAGACTTATCAATCGGAGAGATAAAACTGCATTTAGTTTTTAACCCTCGAGAGTCGAAAAGTTCTTCTGTGTGTTACAAGATTTCAAAGTGAGAGAGAGAGGAATTTCGTAAAAGAATATATGAGATACAACTAATGTTTTACAGTATTATTTATGGTGTCTTAAGGAAAAAATTACTATGCGGGTGTCGAGCGTATGATGCCCATCCCTGCTGTATAGACGTAAAGATCGAGTTCTGAATAATGGATTGAGTCCCAATCCTTTTTTTATTAGTAAAGATGACATTCGTTAAAATTTATTTTCTCCGTGTGAATTTTTTTTATTTATAAATAGGATTAAAAAATTTACTAAACAAACTTTAGGGCATTTGGCGAATCCGCAGCGAATAAAAAAAAAAGGAAGAAAATAAATTGGAATATA